GGGACAGAGAGGGGAGGAGAGAGGGAGAAGGAGGGAGACAGAGGGACAGGGACAGGGCCACCAGAAGGGCGGTATATTTGGACATGCGCCCCGCCCCGCCTCGGCCGGAAGAGCCGCCGCTCTCGTCCCTCGACCGCGACGTCCCCCCATCGTTGCCCCGCGCGATACACATGGTAGAGAAAGGGCGGAGTTCAAAGAGACGGCACGCCGCCGGTGAAATTATTCAATTACTTGTTATTCTCCGACCATTTATCTTCGTGCCGTCTTCTCTCTTTTTTTTCGAGGGCGTGTGTAGTATACGTCTGGCGCTGCAGTGCGCTTATGTACCCACGGTGTGCTCATGGAGCTTCATGGCTCATTTTCTCATTTTCCCATGGCTCCCCCCTCCTTCTAACATCCCCGTGCGCTGCTCGCATTCGCGCCGCAATGGTGGCTTTTGAAGGGAGAAGGAAGAGGCAGAAGGGGCAGCTGGGGCAGCATCTCCTTGCCCCTGAAAGTAGGCGAAATGCCACCCGCCGCCCTGTAACTCAGTCGTAATCCAAAAAGCACATCTGCCATTCGCCGTTAAATGAACCTGCCAGTAAGTTCAGCCGCTGCACTGCAAGCTCTCATAGCGCCTGTCAGGTAGGCAACGCATCGCCTGCCGTGCACGCGTGTACTGCGGGGTGGCCTACCCCTTGTGTCGCAGGCGCCCGGCTCAGGTCAGTTACCGTATGAATTACATGAGAGAGACACACGGACGTACTTGCTGGACGATCCTTATCAGGCACAACGCACGGGGCATCGCCCCAGGCCCATCATCCTTTGTGATAATGATATACTTGTCTTGCTCCTGCCGTATCGAGAGTATATCAGCTGCAGAAATATTTTCCCTTCCAGCAGGTTGACTGTCGGTCCTGCCGCTGCGATAGTCCTGCGCGGCGCGGCCGCTAACGCCGCGTTGGAAAAGCATGATTGATGGGACCATTTCGCATTCTTGCATCTCCGCGGAGCGCACGCTCGCGCTCTTTCACGGAAAAGATAATGAAAAGAAAAAATGAAACAAAACGAAATCTCGAGCACGGCGGTCGGCGGCGGCGGCGGGGCCGGCGGCGGGAGGTTCATTCGCCTCCACGTTCTCACGGGCACGGGTGGGCCGGGCAGCCGGGCACCCGCGGCCACGGGGCCCGAAATGTGCAGTGCATGCCGCGGGGGCGGGGCGGCGCGGGGCGGCGCGGGGCGGGAGGCGAGGCGCTCACCGGGAACAGAGCTCGAGGATGCGACGCACGGCGCCGTGCACTGTCGCGCAACCAGTGCGGGGGGCGGGAGGTTTTAAACGACCTGCTGCGACATGATTCCAGCTACCATATTATTATTACGACACCGGCTAGCTGCAGGCTCAAACCTTTCGCGCGCGGCCCCGCCCACGAAGCGCCCCCCTGGCGGCCCCGCGTGCTCTGGGTGGTACCCCGTCACATCGTCGGGATGGTGCAAAAACGAACCTTGCGACTCGTTTGAAAGGAAACGTACGAGGAAACGGCTCCGCCTCTTTTAATTCGACGCCGCGGAAGTTCAGGACTGTCGTCACGCG